GAACAGGCGGATCAACTGAAATACACGGCTGAGGGAAGCAGCAGGCCAGACAGGAGAGGTCTGCTGTGCCATGTGGGTTGCTTCCTGGCCAAGGATCAAACTTGTGCTACAGTGGCTGTCAAAAACTTGATAGTGCTTTGTCTTTAACCGCTGCACCACCAGGGAGGCCCATATATTCCACACTTTATCCAGTCGTCTACCAATGGGCACTTAGGTTGTTTCCATTACTTGGCTATTGTGACCAGTACAGCTATGAACCTAGGAATACATAAGTCTTTTCATGTTATAGCTTTCTTATTGTTTGGGTAAATACCTTGCAGCAGAATTGCTGGATCATATGGTATTTTCGTTTTTATTTTGTAACGATTTCTCTGTATTGTTTTCCATAGAGGCTGCACCAAATTGCATTCCCACCAACAGTGGATGAGTATTCCTTTTTCTCCACATCCTCACCAACATTTGTTGTTTTCGTTCTTTTTGATATGGGCCATTCTCATAGGGGTGAGGTTATAGCTTATTTTGGTCTTGAATTGCATTTCAACAAAAAATATTGGTGCTGACTTTCTTGGTGCCTATAAGCTACTTGAAGTTCTTCTCTCTTTCCTCTTCTTCCTTTCCTTCCTCCTCCTCCTCTTCTTCTTTTTGTTATAGGAAAGAACTAGGAGGGCATCCCCTCCCGCAAGGGGTTAAGACACAACCTATGGGGCCTCCCCGGTGGCGCAGCGGTTGAGCGCTGGGTTGCGAAGCTGCCCGCGGCCTCTGCGACGCAGGTTCGATCCCCGGCTGCTCCCCGGCCACCCGAGGAGGGTCCCACATGGCGCGCAGACCTCTCCTGCCGCCCGCTGCTCCCCTCAGCAGTGTACTTCGGTCCCTCTGCCTGCTCTGCTCCCCGCTCTGGCTCTGGTGAATTCTCTCACCCTCCCGCGCTTCTGACTGTGCCCAGTGCATGTATAAACAAACAAATAAATAAATAAATAAAACATGCCTCTATTAAAAAGAGAAAAAAAAAAAAGACACAACCTATGAAGCTGTCCGCAGCCGCTGCAACATGAGTTCGATCCCCAGCCCTGGAGCAACCCACATGGAGGAGCAGACCTCTCCTGATTCGCCCACTGCTCCCCCCAGCAGTGTATTTCAGTCAGTCTGCCTGTTCTGCTCCCTACTCTGTCTCTGGTGAATCCTCTCAGCCTCCACACCTCTGGCCTGTACCCCAGCTCTTGTATGCATAAATAAACAAATCTTTTTAAAAAAGAAAGAAAAGAAAAGGACTAGGAGAGAAATGGGGAAAATGGTTGTCCTGAGGGGTATTACAGGAAAGCCTGGAGGTACATTTACTAGGAACACATGAGCCCAGTGTTCTTAAGACTCAACTCTCTTTTGTACATAAATTTTTTAAACTTCTCACACAGATAATATACAATCCTCATTCTATACTGTATTCACTTGACACAATTTTAACTAAATATATTACTACTATAGCTCACACTAATGTCTGATTATTGTTTTATAGTTGAGAAATCATTGAAGAGCAATTTTAAAATAACAATCCTCACTCTTTTTTGAGTGATGTACTAAAAAATATATATACTAACCAATTAAGATGTATCCTGAATTCCCCTTTTTCTTTTCTTTCCCCCAGTTTCCAAAATGATCTCTCTTTTTTATAAGGGCTTGAAAAGTTCCTCTTGAATGACGATTGATTATCACAAAGCCAGTCCTAAATTTTCTTCCATGAGAACTATATTACTTATTTTTTGCTCATTCCAAAGGAAATGTAGCTTCCTTCCACATCCCAAATCAATTACTCCTGTTTCTCTTGATTTAGGGGTGGTAACAATTATTATTTCTAGTATTAGTCATGATCTTCCAGAGAATAGCAAGGCTATAATTCATGCTTTACTGCAATTGTAAAACAGGCAAGTGAAAAACAGCAGAAGCCCATAATTTAAATCCTCTCTGAGTTCTTAATCTAAGACTCTGACATTTGAATTAGGTTCAGTAATATATGCTTAAAATTAAACCATGAGGCAAGCCTCTATAAATTACTATAAATCTAACTCTATCACCCAGAAACTCATAAATTAAGAATTAAGATTAAAACTCTACTTTTAATCCTTAGTATTATACCTTAATACTATAGCACATATCATGCCAAATTGATGTATACTTTATTTTCATTTATATTGCCTGTTACATAGATTAGAACCTTTTGATCTAAACCAGAGGTCAATAACTTGCAGATGACAAATTATTTCTCTGAAATGTATTTTCCAATTAATTAAATTTTGGAAAGCTCTTTATATCATCAAATCTATACTTCATTTACTCTAATAGGAATTATATCCTATTTTCTCCTGTGATTCAAGTCCATTCTTTTCTTTCCCATCCTTTCCTCTTTTCTTTGATGCCTGTTTTCTAAGAATCATGGATAAGCTAAAATCTATTTATGAATAGATTAACAATTTCAAATGACAAAGACGGAAGTGGTCTTTGATTCTAAGTCCCCAAATTACATATGAATGGCTGCCTAACTGGTGTGGAAGTCACCACTTACCTTTTCTTTCCAGTATCACTGGGGTCTTCCTGTTTCTGGTTCCCATTCACAGGGTACATTGCCTACCACCACCTAGTATCACTTCTACTCAGACCCAGTCCCTTCTTACCTAAGTGCTGGCTGGAAAATGGAGACAAGATAAAGGGGTGCTACTAAAGAAAAAGGGAAGAACTAACATTCCTTGAACACCTTTTTTGTTCCAGGCCCTACGTGAAGCTTTTTATAGACATATAGGGAATCTGGACAGGCCACCTCAATCAGTGTCAAAGTCGCATATGTTTATTATTATTTTATTGTTGCTGCTAAAAGGAAGCTTTTATTGAGATGAAAGTTTCTTTTTGTTCACAGCAGATCTACTTTTATTAAATATGATAAGAGATGCAATAATCACAGAATCTAATCTATATCACTATTTTAGGTTAGTCTAGCAAATGCCTTTGCTCACTGTGTAATTGCTATTTTAACAGATAAAAGTCATAAGTCATCAGCTATTTAACTAATATTAAAGGTAGTAACTACACTGGAAGAGGAAAATGTATAGAATTTTATCATCAGATTAGAGTTTTAAAAATCATACAGGATGAAAATTTGTTTGGAAACCTTTTCATCATTAGGGCATTATACATTTTCCAGAACAAGTGTAAATTTACAGAAATTATGCAAGGCAGCTTTTTATCAAATATCAATACTTAGCAATGTTTTGTTTACCTGAAATGTTATTTCAACTGTAAAAACCATCTCCATTTAAAAAAAAACATAAGCCTTATTAGATTTAATTGGCTTTTACAACTATGCTAAGAAGTTTTAAGCCAAACAATATTTTAAGTAGAAAACACTAATTTTTAAATAGTTCGGTATATTATTCTTCTGGTTTAGGTACATACATTAACCTGATTCTTTTACAGGAACCCTGAAGAGAAGTATCACATCAAGCTTTAAAATGTAAAGGCAAGCGCTAATTACATTTTAACAAAAATATTCTGCATGCCACAATTGCAAGTATCAAAGGTATTTAGTGGTTGATAATTGCCTGCTACAAAATATGGGACAAAATGCATTTCCTGGATTGTTTTTCAGACTGCAGCTGCCTTCTGGCATCCCAAATAAGGATTTCCCATAAATAAGCAGCAGAGCAATTCACTAGTGGTTAGTTTAGGTTGTTCCCTTTTTTCCTCCATTTTCTTCTTCTTTTTTTTCCCCCCACCACCCCCAAGTCCTGCTGTGGCACCATAATATTAAAAACATTAAGTACCTGGGATGTCTGCTTCAGATCAAGACACCATTTGAGTAATTTCAAATGATGTACAGTTCTTCCTGTAAAAAAGATGTTTTGTGGTCACAATTACTTCAAAAAGCAGTTACATTCAAATCACCTGACATACCATGCTTTAGCAATTACAGAACTGTGATTTTCACACATGGCAGTTTATAAGTTAGGCAAATGTGAAATGCTAAAAGATGTGAACAGCTGTTCTGTTCAAGTTTGGAGCACTGCAGAATTCCAGTAATGACTTTATTTTTTCAGTTAACGTAACCAGCCCACAGGAAAGCATATGGAATTATCAAGTATACTTCCAAGGAAGGTAATACCCATACTGGCTACAAAAAAAAAAAAAATGACAAATTGACACAGCACAATAAAATGTTTTTATTGGAGTGCTATATTACTTTATTATTTTTAAAGATTTTATTTATTTTTGTGTAGAAGAGCTGCAGTGTAGGCAAGAGATGGGGAGGCTGGGGGGTAGGATTCACCAGAGACAGAGTGGGGAGCAGAGCAGGTGGATCTAAGGAAATACATTGCTGAGGGGAGCAGTGGGCAAGCCAAGAGAGTCTGCTGTGCCATGTGGGTCAGCTCCCAGAGATGGGGGGATGGGGAGGGTGGCGGACTGAACTCAGGCTGTAGTGGTGAGAGTGCTAGAACATGTTATGTAAGTACCAAATTAATACACTCAGGTTTTTAATGGCGGTTTACAGAAGGGCAAGTTATTTTATACAACTTAATGTCTTTAAAACTGTACAGTTTCTCCTTTTGAAGTGAGTTCCCTCAGGGTCTCCAGTCACTCACTGTGATGGTGTAGTGAAGTGAGTTCCCTTATGCAAATTCTCTGTGTCCCACAACTGGGCAATCTCCTGTACATAAGATAAGCGGGGGTTCTGCTTTGTCCTAGGGTTCCTCCAAAGCCAGGTAGCGTTCCGATGTGTGAAGAGCCTGGAAATTCTACCTAAAAGTAATCTAATATGCTAGTGTCAATTTCAAAATACTTTTCAGAAATTGTTAAATTTTCACCTAAACACTGGAATACTCAAAACTAGATGGTCGTTTAAAATAACACTAATTTTGGATGATCTCTTTTCATTAGGAGCCCAGTACCTCTTTGTTTTGATCAAAGGTCACACAGCCTTTCTTCAGCTTATTAGAAAGAAATTCTACCCCAAAGATAGTTGTCTTTTTAAATAACAAATATACTGCCAGCTTGAAAAGACCTGGGGATAAGGATGTTGTATACCAACTTCTGTACAAATGCTGCTGCCCCATCAGAGTCCTGATACTTCCTCTTGCCAAGACAGTCCATTCTTGAATCTCAGCATTTAATTTGTGTGTTACCCATTCCATTGCTTCTGGGCCTTTATCACTTTGAAGATAGCGAGTTTGCCATCAGTGCTTCGAGGTTTCTGCTGAGACTGACCCCTTTCACAGTGATGATGGCTTCTTGAGTCAAAACAGATTTTTCATCTGAAATCATGCAATGCAGAAAGAAGTGGCTTAATACATTTCACACACCAAAAGAAATATCCATCCAGATCTCATACACAGCAAAATATCTTTCAGGTGTCTTCCTGGTGGCTCAGAGGTTAAAGTCTCAGCACTGGCCAGGGTGAACCCACATGGCGCAGCAGACCTCTCCTGTCTCACCTGCTGCTCCCCTCAGCAGTGTATTTCAGTCAATCTGCCTGTTGTGCTCCCCACTCTGTCTCTGGTGAATCCCCTCACCCCTCGGACCTGTGGCCTGCATCCCAGTTCTTGTGTGCATAAATAAAAAATAAATCTTTAAAAAATATATCTTTCTGGCATTAAGGGGAAATAAAGAAATTCTCAGGGGATGGAAAATTAAGAGAATTTATCAAGCAATTGCCTTTCCCTAAAAGAATCTGAAAAATCTAAGGAAGTTATCTAAATGAAAAGGAAATGACTTTTTAAAAGGAGTCTAAGAACATCAGAAAGGAAGAAAGAATATCGTAAGCAAATATATGAATGAATAGAATTTACTTCTCCAATTTCCAAATTATGTCAGATGATGGAAGCAAAAATTATACTAGTCTAATGTAGTTCTATATGTATGTAGAGGAAATATTTACAACAAATACATTGAGTGGAGAAGTGTAAAAGGACATACGGGAAGAAAAAAATTTCTATACTTAAACTCATAAAATGAAGACATCAATAGTCTCTGAAATGTTATGCTTATATAATGTAATACTTAGAGCAATGACTAAAGAGGCTACACAAAGAGATACACCCAAAACCATTATACAAAAATTAAATGGAATTCTAAAAATGTTCAAGCAACCCACCAGAAGGCAAGAAAAAAGAAATCAGAGAAATAAAAAAATAATTAAAAATTAAATGGCAGATTTAATTCCCAAATAGTGATGACAACATTAAAGTTAATAATATAAATGTAACAATTTAAAAACTTAGACTGCAGAGTGGATTAAAAAACATAACCCAACTATATGCTATCATCAGGAAACTCACTTTAAAAATAATAGTGAATCCTAGGACAAGTTAGGGATAATTAGGCAGCCTCAAGGACAGTGCAGGGACTTCAGGAGAGTTAAGGAAGGCTCCAAAGATAAGGACAACAAATTCCAAAGGGGACTAATCAAACACTCCAAGACTTAGGACATTAGGGACTTACTTTATGACATTAGGGTCAACAAGACTTTTCAAATAGAGGGCAATGAAGAAAAAAAGATAAGGGCTAGAACACAGAGACTTAGTTGTGGGCACAGAGACATTTAGGCAGTGAGTGAGACCACCGAGAACTAACCAATCACAAAGAGACTGGTGGAACTTTAGAATTATTAGGGGAAAAAGGTCTATATTCCCCGTGCCACGATTCCACTTCAGCTTCCTTGCCCCTCCCTGGCCTGGTTCCATGGCCTGGGAGACTCACTTTATTTCTGTTCCTTTTCTCCTCAATAAATTTTTTCTTTCTCTAAACAAACCTGCCTCTTCTCGCTTGCTTGCCTGAGCGTCTGTGAAGTTCCTGCTGCGGTTTCATGAGATATCAACCCATGGTGGCCTAGTGGCTGGGACTCAGCACTGCCCCTGGAGCCTGGGATCCATTCCTGGCTGGGAGACTATGCCTGAACACCTACAATTCCGGTATCGACAGTGTAGTTAACAGTATAGTTAGGTTGACAGTAGGATGGAAAATGCTATAGAAACAGTAATCAAAAAAAAAAAAAAAAAACAAGAACAGCTATATTAGTATCAGGATAAACATAGAGAAAATATATGCTAATATAAATTAGCAAAATATGTATAGTAATTTGTTATTTTTTTAAGGATTTATTTATTTATGTATACAAGAACTGGGGTACAGGCCAGAGGCATGGGGGCTGAGTGGATTCACCAGAGACAGAGTGGGGAACAGAACAGGCAGATTGACCAAAGTACACTGCTGAGGGGAGCAGTGGGTGAGTCAGGAGAAGTCTGCTGCGCTATGAGGGTAGCTGCTGGCCAGGGATCAAGCATGTGCTGCAGTGGCTGCAAACAGCTTCATAGGTTGTGTCTTAACCCCTTGCACCACCAGGGAGGCCCTATGTATAGTAATTTTATTATTTAATATTGCATATTAAATGTGTAGTAATACATTAAATATAACATATATACACAGAATGTAATATAAAAGAGATTTCGGAACCAAAGATTGAACTGAGACATAAAACAGCCAATCCATCAAGACAAAGCAATCCTCTGAACAAGAGAGCTGTAAAATAAATATGTGAAGCAAAACCTGATTGAACAACTAATTTACAGAGCAACTAAACAAATTCAGCAAGGACATAGAAGAATTCAACAACACCATCAAATACCGGGATCAAATCAATGGTTATAGAACATCTCACTCCAACTCCAGAATACTCACTCTCTTCATGCACCCATGGAACATATATAAGATGGGTCCTATCCTAGACCATAAAACAAACCTTAACAAATTTAAAAGAATTGAAATCATACAGAGTATTTTCTAAGACCACAGTGGAATACAAACCAGAAATCAGTAATGGAAAGATAACAAGAAAATTTCCAAACACTTGGAAATTAAGTAACACACTTCAAAAAATTCATGGATCAAAGGGAAAGTTTCAAGGGAAATTAAAATATATGCTACAAAAAGGATAATATGTCCATGACACATACATTTTAAGCCTTAATACATATCACCCAGTCAGTCACCCAACAAACACAGTAGCAATGTAAACTCCCAGTAGCGGTATATGATATGTCCTTTCCTATAATCCATCAACAGGGGGTGCTAAATTTGGCCAACCTGTTTTGCAAAACCTGGTTATTTCAATCTTTTTGTTTTCATTTCTTTGAGTATTTAATGAAGTTGACATATTTTGATTTTTTTTGTAAATTTCCTGTGCATCATCTTTGTCTACTATTCTACTCATTTTTTTATACATTTCGTGTTGATTTGTGTGAACTCTCTACATAATATTAACTCAAGCTTGTCATCTGTTTTTAAATACTATTTATTGTATTTTTTTACTTTTCAAAATTTTACAGTTTTTCATGAAATTAAATTGAGTTCTTTTTCTTCTTTTTATTTTTGTTTTTTTCCAAAAATTTATTTATGCATACAAGAAATGGGGTATAGGCCAGAGGTGTGGGAGGTGAGAGGATTCACCAGAGACAGAGTGGGGAACAGAATACGCAGATTGACTAAAATACATGTGGCTAGCTCCCTCGCCCAGGATCGAACTCCTGCTGCAGTGGCTGCTGATTGCTTCATAGGTTGCATCTTTACCCCTTGCGCCATGAGGGAGGCCCTTATTTTTCTGTTTTTATCTTCGCCCTTGGACAGACCATCTACACACTGATTATGTGAATACGTATCTACATTTATTCTATACTTCTATGCTTTAATGTTTTCATTTAAGTATGTATCTGAAATTTATTTTGGTGCAAGGTGTGAGGAAAGGCTCTATATTTCTTAAGTGATTAGCAAGTTTTCATAATGTCGTGGGGCTCTTTGTAAAGAAAAAAATTCTTGATTTTCCAGATCACCGTGGCATCAATGTAGTAACTATAAGTGACCACCATAAACTTCCTTTATTTTCTGACATTACACCAACTCTGAAGAACCTAGCTCTAACCAACACTCAACCTCGAGGAACACACCCATCTGGAATTAGATGAGTGGTAAACGGAAAGGGATCTTCCAGATGTTTATTCATGAGGTAGGTATCTGTTAATGCTGTGTCTTGTGTTATACACCCTGAAAATTTCCCAAAGTCCAATCAATTTCCTGGACAGAGTTTTGCTAGTCTCGAAGAATTCCCTGCATCTCTGCTTTATAGCATCATCCTTCAGCCAACCAAGAAATGTTTATTTTAGAAAGCTCAGAAGTGCAAAGGACAAGTTTTGTTTAGCTGAGACATCTGCAATATGCTGAACAATGTATCAATTTTCCTAGAGTGGAAAATCCCCTGAACTACTAAAGATGTCAAGCAACTATTGGAGTTCCCCCAGTTTTCCACCCTAGTAACCCTCCAACATATCTCAAGAAAGAAGCTTTCACCTAGTTCCTGGCTGCAGCTACAGCCTAACAGCAACATAAACCCGTGTTTACCTCTGCCTTTATCTTTGCCTACCCTATCCCAATATGTTCCTAAGTTATAAAAACCAACCACCTTTTCTATGGTGACAGCAATTAGTCACCTGTTTTTTCCAAAATATATTACCTTATTCTTGTACTTATTTCTTTTTTTTAAAGATTTATTTATTTATGCATACAATAGCTGGGGTATAGGCCAGAGGTGTGAGGGGGTGAGAGGACTTACCAGAGACAGAGTGGGGAACAGAACAGGCAGAATGACTGAAACACACTGCTGAGGGGAGCAGTGGGCAAGACAGGAGAGATCTGCTTTGCCATGTGGGTTGCTCCCTGGCTGGCCAGGGATCGAACTCGTGCTGCAGAGGTAACTAGGGAAATCAGAAAACTCCAATTTTGACAATAAGGAGCGCAGCATTTGTAGAGATATTTAAGTTTCATGTGCAATATAGGTGGAATTACTAACCAGATGACCTATCACATAAAACAAAATGCCAGGAAGTCCAGAAACTGCTCCCTCCCCAAGAGGTCTCCAACCTAAAAAATTATATTTATCTAACAGCTTGTAGAATTACAATATTGCAGTGTGGAGGGCAGAAGAACATTAAGTAGAGCCATGCATGGCTGAGGTCCAGAGCTACCCAGGGCATCCTAATAGAAATGGAAAGCAATGGGGGGGGTGGCTACTCTTCCCAATGGCCCTTCCATATCTAATAAGAGAAGCCACACGTAAGTGATGTACTTCCCCCACAGGAAACCCCCACAGTCATTTGGAAAAATACCCTCTCATATAGCCACACTTGTAAGACACATACTCAGGTCAAGGGTGTTCATTCAACACTTACTGAGCCCTGTTGAGGTGTCATACACCATCAGAGAGGGC